GCTGTTATATACCTTCCTCTTGAGGGATAGTGGCAATCTACCTGTCATAATTTGAGAGTGCTTGCCGAATGTGCTCCACCCCATTCTTATTCTTCTAGTTACTTCAATCTCGTGGCTAGGCTCTGCGGTTATTACCTGCCATAAGTAGACATAGTCTTTTACAACTTCAAGTGCACTATTACCTATCTTGAAGCGCTGCTCCTTTCCGAAGTTGTTGTACATTACTTTCGTTTTCTGCAAATTAATTTTAAGACCCACCTTTCTGCTCTCCTTGTCTAACTCCGTAATCATGAGTGGCAATTCGTCCCCCGAGTTACTCAGCAATGCAATGTCATCGGCGAAGCGCAGGTTACTAAGGTATTCTCCATTAACTCTTATCCGTAACTGTTCCCCTTCTAGGCTTCTGAAAACCTCCTGTAAGCACGCGGTAAATAGCATTGGGGAGATTGTGTCCCCCTGCCTTACACCCTTCTTGATTGGTATTCTGTTGCTTTCTTTATGAAGCACTATGGTAGCAGTTGATCCCCTGTAGATTTCTTCCAGAATATTTATATATACTTCATCTGCGCCCTGATTCGGTAGTGTCTGCATGACGGCTGATATTTCTACTGAATCAAACGCCTTCTCGTAATCTATGAAGGCTATGTATAGCGGTTGATTATACTCTGAGCGTTTCTCTATTACCTGATTGATAGTATGAATGTCGTCAATTTTTGAGTAGCCTGTTCGAAATCCTGCTTGTTCGTTTGGTTGATTGAATTCTGATGTTTTCTTTACTCTGTTAGCTATTACCTTTGTAAATAGCTTGTATACTACAGAGAGCAAGCTGATCGGCCTGTAATTCTTCAAGTCCTTGTCATCTCCTTTCTTATGTATTAAGATAATGTTAGCGTTTTTCCAAGACTCTGGTACCCTTCCCGTCAGGAGACACCTCGTAAAAGGGGTGGCTAGTTTTTCTAACACAATCTGTCCTCCATCTTTCAGCAGATCTGATGTTACCTGATCCTCACCAGCAGCTTTGCCTCTTTGCATGCTCTTTAAAGCTTTTCTCACTTCTTTTATTATTACTGGTGGGGTGTCATCTGGGTTACTGCTAGTTCTTATAGTATTAAGGTCGTGGTTGTCTCGGCTACTGTACAGATCTCTGTAAAACTCCTCCGCTAATTTAACTATCCTATCCATATTGGCAGTTATTTTGCCTTCTTTGTCCCTTAGTGCATACATCCGACTTTTGCCTATCCCAAGTTTCCTCTTCACTGCTCTGACGCTTCCTCCGTTTTTCAGAGCGTGTTCAATTCTCTCCATGTAATACCTTCTTACATCGCGTACTTTACGTCTATTAATCAACTTCGAAATCGCTGCCAGTTCTATTTTGTCTGTTGTACTTGAGACTTTCATGATTTGACGCGTCTTATTGAGATTCTTCGTTTCCTGGGAAAGCTTGCCAGTGTCCTGTCTAACTACCTTGCCTCCAACTTCCACTGCACACTCCGTAATGATACTCGTCAGATTATCATTCATTGTATCTACGCTAAGGTTGGTTTCCTCACTAAGAGCCGAGTACCTGTTCTGCAGCGACACTCTGAATTCCTGTACTTTCCCTCTCAGTGCTAGCTCATTGATTGGCTTCTTGCGTATCAGTTTCTGTCGTTCCTTCTTCAAGTCTAGGCGAATTCGAGACCGTGCCATTCTATGGTCACTGCATCGTACCATGCCAACCACTTCCACATCCTGCACGATTCCTGGGTGTGCAGTCATTATAAAGTCTATTTCATTCTTATTTTCGCCATTAGGGCTCCTCCATGTCCACTTGCGGTTTTCTCGTTTTCGGTAGAAGGTATTCAAAATCCGTAAATTATTGCGTTCTGCGAATTCTGCTAGTAGCTCTCCTCTGGCGTTTCTAGTGCCGATGCCATAATCTCCGACTGCCTGGTCTCCAGCCTGCTTCTTGCCTACCTTTGCATTAAAGTCGCCCATCACTATAGTATACTGTGTTTTTACCTTACTCATTGCCAATTCCACGTCTTCATAGAAGCTTTCAACTGAAGTGTCATTATGGCTGGATGTAGGTGCGTAAGCCTGTACTACCTTCATCTTGTATCTTATATTCAGTTTAATTACAATACCTACCACCCTTTCATTAATGCTATAGTATTCCTCTATGTTGCCAGCTATGTTTCTGTGAATTAGGAGCCCCACTCCCCGTTCTCTTCTGTCTGCCAAGCCCCGATAGCAAAGGACGTGCCCATTCTGTAGCACAGCATAGGCCTCATCTGTCCTCCTAACCTCACTGAGCCCTATTATATCCCATTTAACACCCTCTAGCTTCTCGAATAGTACAGCTAGACTTCACTCACTAGATAAGGTTCTAGCGTTAAACGTTGCCAAGTTCAGGTTCCAATGGCGGCCTGTCCGGATCCAGAGATTCTTAGCACCCTCTGCTGCGTTGCAGATCTGACCGCCGCCGTGGTCAGTTGCTTCGCAGTTGCTGGGGCTGAGGGCTGTGAGGTATTTGACGTATGCATGTGGGAGGTAGTGGCCAGATACTGCACCAGGGTGGCCAATCCTTCTCTGGTGAGGGAGTGCGTTCCCAGCGGTGGTTACCGATGAGGCCGCACCCCAGGCCTCTTAATGCAGTTCCATCAACACGCGGATTTTTTTTGTTTTAAATCCGGTTGGGAACTGTGCGGCGCTGGGATTTTGGCCAATCCTTCTCTGGTGAGGGAGTGCGTTCCCGGCGGTGGTTACCGGTGAGGCCGCACCCCAGGCCTCTTAATGCAGTTCTATCAACACGTGGATTTTAACAATTCAAAAATTAACAAATGAATAAATACAGCAGTTGAAAAAAGTATTTTGGGACTACTAATAGGTTTACAGCCTGAATCTTTTTGAACGTATAATAAACTTCTGCAATGTATCTGCTACTTTTCCTCCAGTGAATCTTAAAGACAAAGCCTCCGAAGAAAGTACAGTTGAAGTGTTTTTATCTGTCTTATGAGTCTTATGAGACGGAATGAGGCACGTAATGTTATTTTGCGCAATGTGACATGTCGTTTCTAAAATATTGAATAATGGTCGGTTGTATCAAGGACTCCACAAAACGAATAATTAAGAAAATCAGCTAGGCAAGGTCTGTGTATAGAAAAATTGAGAGGCGCAGTTTTTCACCACAGGTTAGAACAGGTGATTAGTACTACCTCCTAGTTTAAAGCAGTCCGCCCGCTACAAAAGGCACAAATGTTACGGCGCATATACCGTTATTGAGGCCACGTAGCGGGTGCACACCAAGTTCGAATACATTTCACGCGCATAATTACTCGTGGTTTATTTACCCCTACACATTACACAGAATGCACTGATGAGAGAATATCGTGATCGTGTTTAACTCGTAAGCGCAAATATTAAGGACGAACAAATGTTTTTTAGTCCTGGCATTACTCACACGGGCCTTGTAACTTAGAAATCAAACATTTATTGTTTACGTCTAATGAAGACAAAAGCTGAAGCAAAAAACATATTACTCACTGTAGAGCGTCAAAAGCGAGCACGTGTGTACTTTCGAGTATATTTGTTAATTGCGACAATGTCCATTGTTCTGTACATTGTCAGAAAAGCTAAAACATTTTTTCGTCATATATGCATTATTTGTGCGCTTCAACCTCCTACAAACTGAAATTAGTGCCTAAATGTGCTCTGGCAGATTCAAGCTGGAATTTAAGTTTACTTACTTTTTATGCAGCAACAGTAAAAGTCAATACTGCCTTATCCAGCAATTTCGAGTGCTCATGAGTGGCTGAAAATGCACGGACTTTAACGATACTCACTAAATGGTGGAAAGGGCCTCATAAGCAGCCGATAGTGTTTTTTTTTGGGGGGGGGGAAGCAGGCAAGTGCTTTGAAATCTCTGGTGCATTGTGTTACAATATCGAGTATATTGGACAAGTTTCCGATAGTTGAGTTTTCGTCGGAGCCTAGCATCGGGGCTGTGGCTCCGACGCTAGGCTAGGCGTCGGCTTGAAGGTTGCCGGCGGTGACGGCCTTTTTTCTACAGTCTCTCTTGTCTTTTTCACTGCAATTCGTATCTTGTTTTGTGTTGAGGCAGGTGTGTCAACGTTCGCTTACAGTCTCGCCACATCGTAAATGAAGGCACTTTGCTCGAAGTCGTGCTTGGATGGTGCCACATTCATGGAGTTGTTGACGATGAGGACATTGTGCGTCTGACGATTAGTGCACCTCTCTTCAATGCCCTCGGCATGAAGGGTTCAAATCAAGGGGTGGCCACCCGGCTGATCAATTGAGAAGGTGGCAAGTTTTCCCCATACATTTACAAAGTCATACGAGCTCCGTCATTGTTTTTAGTAGAAGGCTGTCACCATGCATACCTTTGAGAAATATAGTAGTCGATGACTAATGATGTTGAATTTCAATAACTCTTTACTTCACAATGCCTGCCCCAGAGAGCCGGTAACAAAAGCCACGTTGGTGTAGGAAGATTATTGTAATAGCGCAAATTGAGGACTACCAACTAGCCCTTGTATCATGTAGAAAGCATGTGACGCCTTCAATATCATTTTCGAAACTGAAGCAGCCCGTAGAGGTACCCTGCTCAAACTATGCCTACAGCTTATGCTGATACCGTGACTTTCCATATAAACTCTCTGTCTCGAATTTCACCGAGTTTCTCTATTGATGTGAAACATGGTTGAGTTTTCTCGTTAGCCCCGCCGCGGTGGTGTAGTGGCTAAGGTACACGGCTGCTGACCCACAGGTAGCAGGATCGAATCCCGGCTGCGACGGCTGCATGTCCGATAGAGGCGGAAATGTTGTAGGCCCGTTTGATCAGATTTGGGCGCACGTTAAAGAACCCCAGGTGGTTGAAATTTCCGGAGCTCTCCATTAAAGCTTATCTTCTAATCATATGGTGGTTTTGGGACGTTGAACCCCACATATAAATCAATCAGTTTTCTCATTATCCCAAAAACATTTGTAAGAGGACTTACCGGATATTTAATTGGTGCGTTTTCATCAATGAGTTTATCTGCATGGCAATAAGAAACGAAAAGAATAATATTAGATTACGAGAGATGTCCTACTTCTCGTAAAACAATGCACAACCCTGAATTTAAACATTCCAGAGAAGTCTGTGTGGTTTGGTATGAAACTGGGAGATGTTTAAGCTCTGAAACTGGGACATGATTTAGACAGCACTTTCTTCAAACCTTTAGTTGGAGTATAAATCATCTCCCACTGTACACCCCTCGTGCACTCGTAAATACTTTGAAGGAGATCAAACTGTCTGCCACCTCTCGTTTAGTTCTTGCAGAGTTCACTGGATGGTGATACTTGTAGCTGATGATGAAAAGATGCAAGATGTTATAAAATAGACGGCAGTACTTGTAGTTGATGATGAAAGATGCGAGATGTTATAAAATAGGAATGATGTCACATATGGCGCGGGTCATCGGTGGAAGGCAATCGTTTGAATCAGTGCGGTGACGTACTCTAGGGGGAGCGTTGTAATAAAATCGAAAAGACAAAATGGACGGAGGATTCATGGTTTACCACGTTTACCTCCAGAGCTTCGCCTACTCATCATCATTGACTTCGTGGATATGGCGGCGCTTTTTTTGTGCACGCCAAACCACTGAAGTGTTGAAGGCAGCTGCAATAATGAAAGCCATTCCAGCTCCAAGCTGCACCATTCCAAACAAATTAGCAAAGCGTTGGAAACACTCGCCTTTTCGTGCAAGCACTACAAGGTCAGCGCAACGTGATAAGCGCTATGGTCCAAATACTTATGTATGTCTTTACTAGTAACAGGCGCACATGCAGAATATATACTTGCTGTTATGATGCCCCAGACATGCGCAATAGTGGCTTTTCAATTGACAACTGCACAAGTAAGAACGCTAAATCTTGAGCGACATTAGTGGGCGCTGCGGATGGGGTCGGCTGTTTTAAGTACCTGGTGCCGTTAGGAGTGGGCAGACAGACAGACAGACAGACAGACAGACAGACAGACAGACAGACAGACAGACAGACAGACAGACAGACAGACAGGCAGACAGACAGACAGACAGGCAGACAGACAGACAGACAGACAGACAGACAGACAGACAGACAGACAGACAGACAGACAGACAGACAGACAGACAGACAGGACAGGCAGGCAGGCAGGCAGGCAGGCAGGCAGGTAGGCAGGCAGGCCAAATTTTTTCCGAAGGTCCCCAAGAAAAACTATCATCCTTAAAAAAGCAAGAAAAGTAAGAAAGAGTACTATTTTTTTACGGTGGCTGCGGTTCAGACACATCTAAAAAAACAAGGTCACATCCTCTTGCTGAGGCATAATAATGTCTTCTACCACAGATGAAAAGAAGAATTTTAATGCAGTACATTGCAGTGAGAGCTTCATTTCAATTGTTTGCATTGGTGAACTAAAAGTGACCTGCCGGATAACAAACCAGGTTGCCATCAGAAATTGCGCATTTCCGCACAACAGCGATTTTATAAAGTGCTAATAATAGGCCGCGTTTTGATGTTCGCATGACTGGTATGACAATTAACAAACTCTTTTGCACCACTTTTGCTTTGAAACACAATTTTACAGCTTTCGCATTTATACAACACCCATGCCCTAAAGTGCGAGGGCGCGCAGAAACTTAGATATAAAAAATGGGCATTGCAATTTGATTGCAATGTTTTTATAGTATCGCAAAAAATTTGTATCGCAAAAAATTTGTATCGCAAAAAATATCAGAATGTGTCTCACCCAGGTTATGTGTCGACTTTTTGACAACCCACTCTGGGCAGCCGTCACATAGTGATGGGTTCAAGTTACGATTTGCACAGAGAATTCCCGGTCCGTTTATAGCTGCATACATGAAAAAGAAAAAAGAAATATTCGTAAATAACGTTTGCAGCGTCGCAATTGTAAAGACATTCAGTAACGATGGTAAAAAGAGGTGAGCAATCTAGGATCTCCTTTATTTATTTATTTATTTATTTATTTATTTATTTATTTATTTATTTATTTATTTATTTATTTATTTATTTATTTATTTATTTATACATGTACCTACATCGCCCTTACGGGCATTATTGTAGGGGGGAGAACAAGCAAAAGAATACAGTACAGTCGATATGCCGAAAAAGATGGTTGCGGATAAAAGGCTGTATGGTTTGAAAGAACATAGTCATAACAAAGTGAAACAACAAAGTGAAACAACACTGTCATAAATAAGGCATCAAATTGCAAAAACAAAGCAAACGTTGAAAGAGAAGAGTGCTATTGGTAACACAGGGCAATAAAAACAAAATCTATGGCCACATAGATTAGGCCAAACAAAATGATGCGTTGGTTTCTTACTAGGACGGGCTACCTTTAGTAGCTCATGACATTAGAGTTATTTTTGAATTCCAAGAAATTTGCCATAGGAAAAAATTACAGCTTTGTCGCAAAGGCGAAGCAATGAATGCGATAGCAACAAATTGACAGGTCACGCACAGAATGGCAAGTAGATCGAAGCGTGCCCCGCATTTTTCACGCACAAATGACGAACGAAACGTCATCATAAGTACAGATGAGGTGGAGGAGGAGAAAAACTTTATTTATCCCAAGAGGGAAAGGGGTGGTGGTGGAGTGTCAGAGGAGCCTACCCAGCGTAAGTCTCCGTTGCCCTCTCAGCCCAATCCATGATCTGGTCCTGAACCTCAGGCGCTGAGCTGCACATAGCAGCCTCCCACGGCTTCTTACTATTAGTGTGTAGAGAATTGGGCGGTGGGTTGGGCGTACATTCTTACATGATACGGTCTACGTTAGCTCTTTGTTGACAGAAAGTGCACAAAGGGGAGGGGTATATTTCAGGGCGTAGAAGATGGCGAAAAGATGGGGAAGGAAACGTACGCGTCGGTAACTGCCGCCATAGTATTTCATGGTAGCATGAAGCTCCATGATGTGAGGGGGGTGTATAGTGCGCTGTAGGCAGTATTGATTTGTTATGTCGTGGAAGGTCAAAGTATGATCCTTCGCGCTGAAAAAATTCGCGTAGTCTAAGGCACCATCAGAGGCTTGCGCTCATCCGGTCATTCCTCGAGCACAGGTGTGAGCCACCTCATTGCCACTAAACCCCGCATGCCCGGGTGTCCATATGAGAGCAACGTCTTGCGTGGAAGGTCTTAAAATTGAAAGGCCAGTTGATGAGATAAAATGTGGCGGCCTGCTCTAGATGTCACGAGCCTCGCGTATTGAGGTGTTAAATGGGCTTCACGAATTTCACACAGGGTATTTATGACTCCTGTCTGGTGGAGTCATGCGTTAGAGGTATTGATTGCAATGCTTAGCACGTACTTGTAAACTCTGAAGAGGAGGGTGTTGACCAATTCCTCCTATGCTAATTTAAGGTGAAAGTAAGAGAGAGTAAATTTCATTTTACTAACCACAAAAGCTTGTATTACATGAAGTATCTCTGACTTTCCGAGAACTCCATTTTTCCCTGAGATTGTTGCTATTATTCTTAGGGTGTTTCCAACAGTATTGCGTAAAGCTTTGAGTGTGCGTATGAGGTTGCTTCTTTTGGATATACAAACCTAGCACACAAATGAGTGATACTCTAGGAATGAGGCATCCATTTATGTGAACTTAGAATATTGGAAATGTTCGTTCCGACGATGAGTTTGTAGAAGGAGTAACTCTGATTTACTCAGTGTGCAATAGAGATTCATGTCAGATGTTAGTGCTGCTATTTTATCTACAGCTGTTTGTAGGGTGTCTTGAATGTGTCTATCTGAGCTTCTTTTCACCCATAAGGTGATATCGTCGGCATAGATGGAGAAGTTCAAGTCAGGGATACGTTGAAGAGCGTTGGGTATAGGTAGCATAGCCAGACTAAAAGGATTGAAGAGAGCAGTGACCCTTGAGGCGTTCCGAAGCTGCCTAGTGTATAGGGTGAGGAATGTTATGAACCTAATGTTAAAGTAGCTGTGTGGTCTGTGAGGAAGCTTGTGATGTAAGAGTACATTATAAAAATGTGGTTGAGGCCAGCATATATAGCCGAGAGGGCTACGTTATTGAATGCTCCATGTATGTCCAGACTAAGGATCGCCTGAGTATCCTCGCTCTGGTTAGGAGTTATGACGTCGTGTTGAAGGCGAAGCATCGCACCTTGCGCCAAAAGTGAGGCCCTAAATCCAATCATTTTTGGAGGGAGTAGTCCATTACCCTTGACGTTTATCTGGAGGCTTGCAAGGATAACATGCTCCGTAGTCGTTCCGAGACTCGATGTTAAGGAAATGGGCTTCAGATGTTCTACTGAGGGAGCTTTGTTCGGTTTAGATATAAATATGACTGTGACATCTTTACACGAAGGCGGAAAGGTGCCCTTGTCAAAACAGTCGTTAAAGAGCTCACTCAAAGCTAATAACAATAGGGTCAAGATTTCTACGTAGTTTGTTGTTAACGCGGTTGGGGCCTGAAGCCGACGTGATGCGGATTGTTGCGAGGGCGTGCCTAACTTCTGCCTCCGTTATCGGTGCATCTCATGACTCAGTAGGTTTTCCTGTGTAAGGTGGTATAGAATCTTTTCGTAATTGAGGTAAATGCTACGGGCGGAGGTTATCGAAGAGCTGTCCTAAATGGCCACTGCTCGTGTAACAGTTTAGTGATAGCGTGGTAGTGTCGTGCGCGAGAAGTACTGGGGTCAAGCTTATGTCCAAGAAGTTTCAAGTTCATTCATTACGGAGGTAATAATCTATACCTTCACAAAACTGACTCCATTGTTGTGTCGCCCATTGAGTCCTGTATCGCTCGATTTATGTTGGTCTAGCTTCGCTATCCTAACGTGGAGTTTGCTGTTGTGGCGCTGGTGTTTCACCATCGCAGAAGTGGCTGTTTTGCTGCCCACATATGAAGAAGCATGAAGTCGAGAGTAGTTATCGGGGTGTCAGGGGATAGAGTTGTCATGTGAATTTCAACATCTTTTTGAAACTGTTGAGTCCCTTCAGTACGGTCTGCAATACGTGAGGGAGCGGTGCTGTTGTGGGTGTCTCTAAATTCATCCCATTTTGTGAGCATCATTAGTTTGGGTGCAATAGGGCTGTATTTTAGTTGTAATGTGATTAATGTAATTTTCACAACCAAGATTAGTTTGGGTGTTGGTGCAAACCATTGTGGGAGCATTGGGAGTGAGGGTAAGATCGGGGGATGTATCTTTGTTCACACTATTCCCCAAGTAAGTAGGCTCCTCCGGGTCGTTGTGCAGTGTAAAACGATGTGCCTGAATATGCATCAGGAGGGCTCTACCTTTCGGTGTAGATGCGGTGTAATTCTACGCTGGCTGAGAGGCGTTCAAATCCTCCACTATGAGGAGGGTGTGTTTGCCTGCCAAGGGTGTAGCTCGGGCAAATAGGGAATCGAGGTGGTCGCTTTTCTCTTGTAGTCTACTATATGCGTTGAGAACGTGTAAGAATGGCGAGTTAAGTTTATCAGGTAGTATTTAGAGAAAATCGTGCTCAATGTCGATGTCAGCAAATTTTGTAGAGGTAACATTAAGGTCTTCTGAGTTAATACTGATGTGTTTGGTTTGGTATCAGCGGGGTTTTGATGCGTTCTATAGCTTGGCAGCTGCACTACATCAATTGTTTCTTGTAACGCATTGATTGGCGAAGGTGTAGCTTGTAATTTGATGTACTGCAGCAGGTTTACCTTTTTTTGGCAAAACCCTCTGCAGTTCCATTGCCATACGCAAAGTCCAGTGCGGTTAAGAGAAGCCATTTTCGCTAGGTTGATTTGGCTTTAAAAGGTTTAGCGAGCGTTGAGCCGCAGTGCCATGAATACAGTGAACTATTATATACCATTAAGTCGAGGTGGTTATAGGTGGGAAGTAGACACGAAGCGCAAGCCGTAAGAAAGTGTGCGTGTGCCACCTCTCGTTTAGTCCTTGGAATGTCCGCTGGATGGCGGTGCTTCTATATCGGTAATAGAGTTACTGTATATGCTACCTTTAGGTAGCAGAGTTGCGCCAAGGTGCGCCATCTTGGGTTCAAATGTCTTGCGTGTAAGCCACTCGCACCCACGTAGGGGCAACACTCGTGCTTCAGAGTGCTACATTGTCTCCTAATATTGAGGAACTATGGTATTAGCGTGGCTTTATTTATTTTTTCGCTTTCTTTCTATTATTTAAAGGTATGAATAAAACTCGGTTGCTCCGGTAACGCCTATAATCCTTGATTTGATGCTTACGTTCTTGGTATGTTATAATAAAACAAAGTGCGTTGGCTTGTTGAACCAGTAAAATGATTGGTTAAAAATAGCTTTTTATTTATGGTTGGTTACACTAGCTACGTCTTCTTTTCCACTGTTTTTTTTTCATTTACAAATATGAAATTATTTTTGCACTTTTTATCGCTATCGAACTAGTTAGAAATGTGTTTTTTCACCGTGTTGGACTCATTCGTTAACTGTGTGAGTGAGCCAGGTGTAGTTTTATTGCCTTCAACTAAATCGACCTGCATAGCGATCGAGAGTACCCGTGCGACGCCAATATTACGCGCGGCTCTCGAATATACGCTCGTATTACAATCGTGGCTCACGACAGCTGATGTGAATCGTCGTTCAACAGCCCTGTCGCGCCCAACATTCTTTCCGCGTAAGGTTAGAAAGCTACAATGAATTCGCGTAATTCACACGCTAGCCGCAACACCTTGTCGATTTGAATAAGTATATTTTAACTTATTTTCCCTTTATTTGTAGTGCTACACCAGTCAGATCTATTGGGACGTATGCAGCTGACACACGCTGACCAACTCTGAAGGTATAATGTAATCACTGCATCTGTGGGTAATACAAATTTAGCAAGTTTGCAGTGCCATGGATAGATAAAAAGAAGTCAAACATTTATTCCTTCCTCACTGAACGATATCCATTTCCTGGCAACATCCAGTGCACCCTCGTCTGATCACATGGGCTGTAAGTAGTACAAGTTGCCACAAAATGCACTTGATACCACGCTTCTCCCGACCAACATTACTACAGTACCGAAGAAGTGCGGCGAGAATAACAACAGCCGATGTCAACCAAGCTTGATCTGCCCGGAATCATCGTAGCGTTGGCTTCTCCGCAGCGCAGTTGGACCAGGGGGGTGAAACTTCGCGGTTTTTCTGTCCCGTGACCGCAGCGATCCGAACGTTTGGGGGCTGTACTACCTAAATGAACGTTTTTGTTCTATTTTATAGTTATTACTAGGTTACTCATTAACTCCGGAGTTTTTACTACACATGTGAACCTAAAGGTTGCAGTTCGAGATTGCGAAAATAAGAGCGCCACCCGAAGTGGAAAACGGGAACTGCGCAGTCGTCCTATCTCTCACGGCGAAAAAGGGGCGTTTCTTTTCGCGCGCCCATGTATGCTACAGCCTGCGGTGTCCCAAAGGCCGCTTTTACCGCTGTAAAGTTTGTTTTAGCGAAACCCATGCAAGATTCAGCCAAACAGACGCATCCATGGATTCTCGCCGTCATCACAAATCGTGCTGCGCTGAGTGGTGTCAGAATTCTTCACGACACACCGGCATAAAATTTTTTCGGATCCCGGCGGACGAAAGGTACGATCTGCATGCTGCTCGTTTTGTCTTTCTACGCTTGCACGGCATATCAGGATGCGGTTGCTGCAGTAGCTGTGTAATTTAATTGAGCTACACGTACATGATTTATTCATTACATTCTGATTGTCTGCTTTTCAGCTTCAATTATACATGACATGCACAGCAGAGCATCTGGAAATTATTCCAGCGAATACATTTGCTACGCACGATTGTTTATACTTGCGTTTTCATTTTAATGAGTTTCGATCGTGCATTGCATTTCGATGTTGCACTTTGGCTCAAGGCAATGCAAGGCATGTCACAAATGTATTTGTAGCAGCATATACAGTGACTAATAGAACAGTGTAAGCTTATCCGCACTCTTTTTATTACCTTTTGATTGCCTGCGTTCAGTCTGTTCTCGCTGCATGCGTTATTATTATTCTTGAATATTATCAGCCTATTTATGTCCATAGCTAGAGGAAGGCGATTCCCATAATCTTTTGGCTATAAGGGAGGGTCCATATACGTTCATAGCATGTGTTGTTAGTACTATGTTAATTAAGTACTGAGTACATAAATTATTACACTTGCGAGTTTAGACGGATGTTATTACATTATTGCGTTTCAATTGTGTGTTTTCATTTTGGCCTCACGTAAATCCACGGCATATTGCAGAGGAATTTAGCAATAAATTTATAAAGTAATAATGTATAATGTATACTTCAATTTCATGTTTTCAGTTTCAGCCTTAAGTACAATTACGATATATTTACAAGAATGAAATTGCAGCTAAAAGCCCATAAATAATTGGACAATGTAAACTTACGTGTTCTACTAATTTATTACCGGTTTTAATAAGGTTTTTATGAAAGATTTGCAGCAGGGCGCGAGAAATACCCGAGGAATACGCAGTGCGCGAGGGTATATATGTACGAATAGTTGTTTAGAGATTTTGGTTTGGGATGATTGCTATTGTCTGCAAAAATATATTTTGAATTAGGAGGAAAGCTGGGGTCGTTGCCACCAAACATTACTATCGCGCAAGTAGAAGCATGTATCCGCGTCTCTTAATAATAAAGACAGATTTTATTTTAAAGTTTGCTTCTAGGATTGCTATCACAAGTCATCTCGGTTACAAAAATTCAATTAAAAAAGGAAGATGAGAAATGTATCAAATAACGCTTACTTCAAATAAAGATGCCAGTTTTCACTCAAAGCTATCCATCTACGCCTGAAAACAGAAATAAATCCATTCTAACCCAAATACTACACACGTACACATTGATTTTCCAGATCTCGCGCTTGGCTTCAGTATGCGACACGGCAGGACCTGGCTCATTTACCACCTCGTCAGAGCTACAGCAGCTACCGCCTGTGCTCTGCCCATTTCACCAGCAGAGACTACGCAGACCCTGGACAGACAAGGCTGCTAAGATGTGCTGTGCCAACAGTTTCCATCTTTGGCGATGGGCAGACACACGTCGAAAGTCCAGGTGGGAATACTGTAAAGTGATCATACAACAGCACAAACTTTCATGCCTCTACATCTATTTACAGAAATGCTTCAATACTCAATATGTGTACCTGTCCGAGTTATCATGACTCAGTATTTTTAAGATTCTCGCGCAGATTACACCAACAATACCAACGCATGGTGTACACAGCATCCATGGATTCGCCGGCATGATTTTGCTGGTAGATATAACTAGCTAAGTAAAAAATTTGCCGGCTTCACAATCGTTAAATTTAGAGCAAACGTCTCACTCAGAACGCTCTACATGTAACCTCCTCGATTCTGATTCAGTTGTCTCTGCTATTTTACCCGTGGCGTAGCGTTTTACAGGAAAAGGTGAAAATGACCTCATAACTTGAGAGAGTACTCCATGTGGCGCGTTATCAGCTATTTCGCACATGGCGAGTGAGTAGCGGCCAACTTGGTGTCGCTGTTAAAACAATTGCGCGATAGCTCTGACAGTGGGAGCAACAGAACTGGCCTTTTAGAAATATATATATATATATTCTTCGACACCCTAGTTCAAAGTCGCTTTTAAAATTAAGAATCCAAAAGGTACTTTATGTTTATTAGCTTTATTATTACAAAATTACTTTTATTTTCAATGGGCGAAATAAGTGTAATTGGCAAGAATTCGGTTACGCGCTAGGTCATCACGGGCACCACGATGTTAACCTGTTCTAGGCACGTCGCATTAAGATTTTTAAAATATTGGTTTAGGATAGTTGGGACACCCATATATTTAGTGAGTGACACGTAGCGTTCTCTTTTTGTGTGTTTGCACTTTTTTTATTACTCGTACTGAGACATAATACGCGAGGAGACCAATTAATAGTGAGAAAACGCCCTGAGTGATTGTAATTGCAAATATTTAATGTGACGCCTTATACCAGCTGTATGTATGTCACGCAAAAATCTGTGCTCCGCCAATTTCTCTTCACAGGCTCTCCTCGGCCCGCCAATACCACTGCAATGCCCGCTCACAGCGCCGATGAAGAAGTTCAACAGACTGAGCCCTCATGTACGCAAATCGTATTGCTCTCTAAGCTCTTTAAAACTATTCCAGATAAATTAATGCCCTGCAGCTATCGTTTAAATGTCACGTACCATTTAACAGATCCCAAAGTGCACTACGGTGTCAGCTGGGCGAGCTAGTTCATTGCTAGGGGACGAGAACCAGAGCGATGTATACCGAAAGGCAGGACGAGACGAGTGCTTGTCCGATCCCTTTCTTGCTTGTTTGTTGCCTCCTAAGAGGGATTAGTGCCCCGCCGCGGTGGTCTAGTAGTTATGGCGCTCGACTGCTGAACCGCAGGTCGCGGGATCGAATCCCGGCCGCAGCGGCTGCATTTTCGATGGAGGCTAAAATGTTTGAGGCCCGTGTGCTTATATTTAGGTGCACGTTAAAGAACCCCAGGTGGTCGAAATTTCCGGAGCCCTCCACTACGGCGTCCCTCATAATCATATCGTGGTTTTGGAACGTTAAACCCCAGATATTATTATTATTATTATAAGAGGGATTAGTGTTTTTTCAAGAAGACTATGAATTCGTTGTTTTTTCCTAAACATACCATTTTAAACGTATAACCAATAATGTTTGTTAACAAGGAGTATGCTAATGATTAGGAAAAATTAGTTGACGCTTCATGTTGCCCACGATGCTTATACATGCCATTAGTAGGCTCAATGCCCAGCAGTGTGCTTATCAGAGGCCTGTTCCCAATGCCCCAAGTTTGAATAAGTGAAGGATCGAGAACTAAATATGACCAACTGATTACTCATGGAAGTAATCACTTAAATTCTAAAAGCCGCTAGAACTTTTACTAGGTTTAAAGATCATGGTCAGCTTTCACAAAAACACAGTATAAATGAGCTTTTTTCCTAAATCTTTCAGGTTTCAATCCAGCCGATCGACAACACAAGCCTTCTAGGTGCTCGCCCCGGACAGCCAGAAAAATGAAGAACCTGGAGAAGATAAATTCAAGGCTTTGGAAGGCACTGTCAAGAATTGGCAAGAGAAAGGTTAAAAAGCTTTCCCAGTCCGAGGCGTTGAATGCTATCAGGCCCTATGTCCGCAAGACATTCTTTAGATTGCTTGAGACTCAAGTTAAAATTAATGGCGTGAAACGTAGAGGACGGAGGTGGTCGCCTGAGCACCGCCAGTTCGCTTTAAACTTATACTTTCATGGTCCGAAAGCGTACAGACATCTGTCAAGACTGCTTGACATGCCAACTGTGAGGTCGCTAAAGCAGTGGTTATGAAATATTCCGATGACTCCCGGAGTTATTCCAACCGCTATTGAAGCCCTCGAAGAAGCTACCCGAAATTGGCATTTAACAGATCGTGCGTGCACATTAATATTTTAATAAATGTCCTAGAAGGAACATCTGCAGTATGATGCAAAGCATGACATTGTGATGGGATTCTCCGATGACGGTAGGCAAAGAACACCAGCCGTGGCAAATTCAGCGCTCCTGATACTTGTGGCAGGCATTTCGAAAACGTGGATTCAGCCTGTTGCTTACACAGTATCAAGGACCAAAACACACGCAGATACTCTTCATCATCTGATCATAACAATAATCAAGCAGCTGCAGGGAGCCCGGTTGTTTGTGAAGGCGCTCATCTGCGACCAGGGGGGAAGCAACATCACTTTGGCAAGTAAGCTAGGTGTGACGCCTGAAGAGCCGTTTTTTGTGCTTGAAGGCCGCAAGATTTATTTCCTATATGACACACCACACTTACTTAAATGCACAAGGAATAATCTCCGCGCACCTCACAAGCTCCATATCGGGCAAGAAATTGTGGATTGGTCTTTCATTACGCAACTATACGAAAGCTCGCATCCTCTCAAACTCAAATTGGCGAAGAAACTAACCGACAACCACATTTACCGGAAGCCTTTCAATAACATGAAATTTAAATATGCCAGCCAGGTGATGAGCGAATCGGTCTCAGTGGCCATTGATGTATTCATTGCTCTTGGCGTGTTGCCGGCATCCGCCAAACCAACAGCTGATTTTCTCGAGAAGATAGATAAGTTATTCGACTGTCTGAATAGCTCTTCTGTAAAAAAAAGCCAGTGACAAGTTACGTTATGCAATTTCGGAAGGGTCCGAACACCTAGCCTTTTTGCGGGAGTGCCTGTCGTGGGTTGAAAGGTGGAAATTTGACGGGCCTCGGCAACCACACACAGTTGAGGCATGGAAGGTCACCTTAAAGGCTATCCTTCTCCTCTGGGACGACCTCTTCCAAGATTTTGATTTTCGTGTTCTCTTGACTCGCTGGCTACAGCAGGACCCCCTGGAAAACCTTTTCGGGCTTCTTAGGCTAAAGCATGGCTGCAATGACAACCCAAATGTGCTTCAGTTCACAACAGGTCTGAAACACATTTCTGTTGGCAAACTGGTTGCCCTTTTTTCAGAAGGAAACTGTGAACAGGATCGCAGCACTGTGTTGTCACAAATGTCAGAGCCACCTCATTCGCTTCCTACTACTTGTGATGCAGCACCAACAGTCGATATGCTTCCTGATGAGGAACAGCCCGTTAGCCATGATATAGTAGAGGACAACGTTCTCTACTATGTTGGGGGATATCTCGTACGGCAATTTTTGTTTCACAGGCCTCCACACTGTGTGTGCAACACCCTTTTGAAGAAAGGCGACCACCAGCTTTGTGCATCACACCAGTATTTTGCTATGTTTAAGGCAAGCAACATCTCCTCAGATTTATTTGGCAATGTAACAATGCCTTCTGACGATTGCTTTCAGGATATTAAGGTCATGGAAGCTTGCTTTTTGGAATATATCGGTGTTGTGGCGCACCTGCCTAATGTGAGTGGAGTTTTGGCAGGCATTTTGCACAGCTGTATGGGAAGGCAAAAATTCTGCTCTGAAGAATGCAAGAAAGCCTTTGTGCACCTCTTTGCAAGGATTCGCCTGTTGTGGCATATTCGCTTCGTGAACATCTCCTTGGCTAATCAGCGCACCAGAAAATCTACTGCAGCACAAAAAATGCGGAAGTTTTTTGTAACTTTTAGGATTCTGTTTGCATATTTGAGGTCTTGAAAAACTGAGCGCTCAGAAAACACGGACGACAAAAAGACACACATATGCGCAAAAGTAGGCGCTACTTCCATATTTTTGAGTCACCGCTACTTCTATAGCTGAGGTCACCATTTTCTGCCTCTGAAGCGGACATGTGTGTGTACTATTTATCTGCTTGTATTTTGTTTTTGTGTTTTTCATTAAGCAATATAGGTATGTTACGCTGAAGAAAGCATAAACCCTTCGTGTTATTTTATGAGAACACTCTATAGTGGCTTCAGTATTTTGTAAATTTTTGCTTCAGCTTTTATAAAGAAACCTGATGCTGAATAAAAAATGTAGCATTGTCTAACTCCGGTACCTTATGGTTTTTGTATCATTTCCTCTTGCATCCTAAGTGTGCGGTGTGCCGTATTATCTTGTCCCACTCATGGGATGATTTTATATCGGGATACGTGCTGTGAACTTGTGTATAGTTATTACTGTTTTTCTTTTGTCTTTGTATATACGTATGTGTGGCAATGTGCACTGGATTGATACTAGGTTATTAGCATGCTGGCATGTGCGGTCCACTTTTGTATGCGACCAAAAAAGTAAAACATTCAAGTTGTATTTGTACTGCATAAACCGTACGTTTAGGCAATAAAACTTTCAAACAAACTCTGCTCTTTATTTTGTCTAATTTATGTGTATACGTAAACAAAAACGTCTTACTTAGAATAAGTAGTGCACAAATAGGTGGATGGGCAGACTATCAATCAGAACGCAATGATGGCCGTTTTCATCATGTGGCGGGTTGCGCAACAGGAAGAAGGTCGCGTGCTCGCCATCTGAGTACCTTCCACTCGCTCAATTTGGCTTTCTGGTGCATCCCAATTGAATTTGGCGCTGAATCCCCCCCTCGCCACTCGGATCCTCAGTCCTCATCAAGATGGCGTCCCCCAGTGCATGTCTGCAATGCGCCGCCATGTTTTCGTACCGCCCCCAAACACCAGGCGTTCGTCCGGCGCTGCGAGCGAATATCGCGTTCCATGGAGGGTATAGGAAGTTTCACTCCCCTGGTTGGACCACTTATGACCACGTGACGGCGCTCGGCGAATAGGAGCACTGAACTCCTGCAGGCCGAGCGAGCGGCGCTCGGAAAACAACGGTGCAGCTCTGCTATCTAAAGGCAGCATATACCCTATCGGAAAAATCGCCATGGTGGATACTGGAAAACATGATGGGAGTAGTGGAAATAATACTGAACATGGTGGAAATAATAGTGGGCATGGTGGAAATTATGATGGCTATGGTGGGACGTAGTGGAAAATATTGTGGTTATACTGGGACATACTGGGTGGTATGGTGTACAGATGATGGGTAAAGTGGAAATGATGGTGGAAAGCAGAGGCTAGATAGTGGGCAATAATGGGACACTCTGCCCACCATTGCGATAATGCTGGGAAGCCCTAAGCATATGGTGGGTGGTGCTTATTATGGTGGGCTATATGGTGTACCAAGTTGAGAAACTCTTCCCACCATTGCGATAATGCTGGGAAGCACTAAGCAGATGATGGGTGCTGCTTGTTATGGTGGGCCACATGGTGTACCAAGCTGAGAAGCTCTGCCCACCTTCGCGATAATGCTGGGAAGCAGTAAGCAGATGATGGGTGGGCTTATAATGACGTGCAATTTATATAGTGTACAAAGCTGGGATCTGTACACTACATGTTCTACCACCATGATTTCCACCAAAGATTAGGCCTACTGACCGAGCCCGTACAATTGTGTGACCGTGTTTCCGGGTTTCAGAATACATGTATACGACGATTAAGTATGACAATACAGCGCAGCCATATGGCATCAATTAACCTAAATGAAGCTTTTTTCATTGTGTATGCTGTCCGCTCAAGAAGCAACAAACATCAATGCGACGCGATTAAAGCACTCCCAGAGAGCGTAATTAAGTGTCTTCTCACCGACAGCCGCCGGTCACACTCGCCGGCACTTCTCTAGCTTTCGTACGCGAACTCAGACGTGGCAATTCGTGTGCTTGGTGAACCAATATGATAGCGTAATGTTTCCGGCACACTGCATTCGTTTTGGCCAAGTCGTTATGTAGTTGTTGCTTTAGCGAAAGAGCTACAGCATTGCGCTGGCGCGACCGCCCTCTACAATGCGCGAAAAGCATCCCAATACTCAATCAAATAAATTAGGCGGGCGTATCTATGGAATGAGCCTAGAAGCGTCATAAAGCTTGAACAGATGTCGCCCTTTAGAACGAGCGCGAAACGGATATTAAACTTGGCAGACCCCGCCGGTAAACTGTCGCTGCTCCCCAGTCCACTTGGTTTTTTTTTTCTTGAAGTTGTGAATTGCAAAAAATAGCACTAGTGTCATTAACATAGTGGCAATCGTTACAGGCCGCAGTTGCTTGTGTTTAATAAATGTGCAATATTTAGTAGCAGGTGTGGATCTTGTCTATGTTGTGTTCACGACAAACATAACCAAGTTGAACCTTAAGTTTGTATGGCAACTAAGTATTTAACACGCAGTGAACGTCATGTTGGTGTGGCGCAGTGGTTAGCGTCTTCGAATGGGAATCTGCAGGTTGCACGTTCCATCCTCCGTGGTGCCTTGTTTGTTTTTTTTACGGGATAAGTGTTTTTATACCGTTTTTATAGAATTCTTTTTTATTTTTTGTGGCAGCTCGTCACGGTGATTCTGACGTCACTTCGCGCTCAAGTGTTGCCGGCACTGCAGCACCCACCATACCCACCATGCGCCATGGTGGGCGTTTCCCACCATTCACCCACTACATTAATCCACTATAATGGTGGGTGGTGGTTTCCACCATGCCCACCATTCGTTTTTTTCCGATAGGGTACAGTAACTCTAATCGGGAATATATGATGGAAAGATGCGAGATGGTGGCACTCGGAGGGTTGAATAGATGAACGAATGGCCACACAGACAGATGCATGGACGGACTCACGGATGGCTGCACCGACGGATGGACGCATGGGCGGACGCAGGGGCGGATGCATGGACGAACGCAGGGATGGACGCACAGGTGGACGTGCGGACGCACAAACAGACGCACGCACAGACGGGCGAATGGACGCATGGACGGTCACACAGACGGACGCATGAACGGACGGAAGCTAGAACGAATGGACGGACTGATGCTTCGCCCCACTCTCTATCATTCACTCCGTGGATATGCTGCCATTTTTTTCGGCTTTTTTGTCTTGTGATACTGGGTGAGCGTCCTCTAAGGGCGTTCTTGGAAGATGTGCTTGGGTTGAGGTATGGAGATGCATCTTGCTCGATAGTGGAGGGTGCGTGCTTTGGTTTGGGCTTGTAGAGCTGTGGGCACTGGGACGAGCCGGTGGGGTGGTCACTGTTGCACACCACACATTTAGGTTCACATTCGTTATCAAGGAGTGGGTTCGGAATGCGACACATTGGACAAAAAGACTGAGGGGCGCCTGGGCACACGTCTAGTCTTTGACCAAGTTTGCAGGAGAATTTGACACGCTTCCGTCTTATAACAATAGGGTACGCATCAGGGGATGCAACCTGATAGCTTATGTAGAAAAGCACGCGCGTACCTCTGAAGCTGACCAAGATGGACTTTGTGGAACCCAAGCGACGCCCGGTCAGGATGAGGTCTAGTCTGTCGTAGTCCAATAGACTTGATAAGATGGTTTCAGGAGTGTGTTCTATAAGAATAATACGGATGACCCCTCGGC